CTCCCACTTTAGAGTTTAGACCTCTTTGTTTTAGTCATTCATGTAATTAGTTCAACGGTAATGCTAGCAATAACATCTATTTAAACAAAATTTTGTAAATTATATGACGTGGTTGTTGATGATTTGATTAATAATTAAGTATTGATTAACATATTTATTATCTATAAATGTCTCCCACTTTAGAGTTTAGACCTCTTTGTTTTAGTCATTCATGTAATTAGTTCAACGGTAATGCTAGCAATAACATCTATTTAAACAAAATTTTGTAAATTATATGACGTGGTTGTTGATGATTTGATTAATAATTAAGTATTGATTAACATATTTATTATCTATAAACGACGCATCACAAAATTTGTAAATTTGATCTAAAAACTGATCTACATAACATTATTATTAGTTCAACTGTCTTAATCAAGCGAATAAGTTAAGAATAGTCTGGCCGGGTGCTTTTGAAACATTGTTTTATTTTGAGACGAACCAGCCACCGCTGGGTGCTTTTGAAACATTATTTTATTTTGAGACGAACCAGCCACCGCTCATGTCTCATCAATTGTCTTAATCAAGCAAATAAGTCAAGAATTGTCTTAATCAAGCAAAAAGTTAGCCAAGCCGGGTGCTTTTGAAAATTTTCCCTACCCCCTTCTTTCAAAAATAAAAAATAAAAAAAAACTAATAAAAAAAACTTGAAAACTTTAAGTTTTAACGATAAAGAAAAAATAAATGGTAAAATGAATAGTATCAAATTTGACTTTTTAGTCTAAAAATATAATTTTTCGTTAAAATAAACAATATCACAGACTTTTCGTTAAAAAACCAAAAAAGCAATATTTCTTCCTCGGTTTCCACTTTTAGCGCTTGAAGCCATGAATCTAGATTCTCTTCTAGTTTCAACAATATTAGAAACTATTATTAACACTTTAAAACATTTTTACGTATCTTATTGTTTATTTTGTACACAGAGAGCTGTATTAATTAATGTGCAAATAACAACTCTTTGAATTAAGTAAAAGCACAAGTATGAGAATTGTAAAGTATGGGCCCGTTTGGGAAGTATTTTTAGAAAAAAAATATTTTTTGATTCCAAAATGAATAAGCATTTCAAGTGTTTTTTATGATTAATTTGCATTTTTATTAAGATTTGGTTTAAAAAAATATTTTCTTTAAAAACGTTTTGACAGAAGAAAATCATAGAAAAGCAAAAGTAAGGTCTACTATGTTTCTCCAAAAAAGTTTTTTTTTTCAATGCATAGTGAACAGTACCCATTTAATGAAGTTTTCAAATGACAAGTATATCCCTGTATATTTTACAAAATTACAATCTTTGCCATTGCATTATTCTTTTTGGCAACTATTATATGGCATTCAATATCATATCAATTTTAGTCATTTAACATATTCACAAAAGTTTCATATAAAACATTACCAAATGCTTAGATATTGTTTTCTATTAAAAACATTTTTAAAAAGAAAAAGAAAAAAGGTTTAACAAACATTCATTAACTTTATTTTATAACTATTTTTTCTCACAACATAGCAGCAATAATTTTGTAGAAAAATTACAGCAATACCAAATTGGCCCTAAGATTGGCCAAATATCCTGGTTTTTGCTTTTTGTGAGTTTAATTTTCCTATTAGGAGCATAAAAATATGTGAATTGTAATAACGCAAGGTTCATAATCTCCCGTTACTTTTGTTTGGTATTATTTTCTACATTTAACGTAAATTTGAAATCACTTAGTACTACGGTCTTGTGGTATTTCTTTTTGTTTAGAAGTGAGAGGTCTTAGGTTCGAATCTCGTGGATAGTGAATTCGATACCAAATTAGATTGCCCGTTGTGTGGCTTTGCCGAACTCTCTATTCCCCTAATGTAAAAATATCGATGTACTCAACAAAAAACAAAGAACAAAAAAAAAACATAAATTTGAAAATGAAGAACCGCCAGTGGGTTCCAAAGAGCCAGGAGGATCCTAGGAATCCTCTTTGTGAGGATTTTGGGGATCCTCCAATCATATATGTTCATCATATATCGTGCGGTCAGAAATCAATATAAATTTTTTTAATTTAAAATTGAATATAAACAGTACCTGACAAAAACTGGCCGCATGATGTACGATGAACGGATGTGATTGGAGGATCTGACGAGGATCCTCTCTCTCCAAAGAGTGTATGACCCTTTGCCTTAAAAAAATACTAATATTTTAATACGAATTGTTTGGGTTATTCAGTTTAGGGATAGAGAAGCACTTGGACAATTATTTTTCAATTGGGGGATTATATTACCTATTGGCCAAGGAATTTTTTAAGGGTAGAAGTGCTCATATGAAGAGGTAATATCCGTAGAGGAGACAAGCATCTAGCATGTGCATAAGCAAGAAGAAGATGAGCGACCAAGTACACGATCCTATGGCTCCTTTTATATGCGTTTTTTTTAATGATTTTGAGCCGATCTGAGTTTATGTATTTTTATTAGTGGAACTGGCTCGTTGGATCCGTTTGATACAGTCCAATTTCTAGGGGGTAGAATGGATACGTTTCCAATCATATGTCGTATAGCTTAACAACAACATAAAACAATCTCTATGGTTTTCCGTTAAGAAAGAATTACGTCTAACAAGGTCAATAACAATAATCGTCGTTTTACATTTTCTGGGGTTACATAGATATGATATTATAGATCATGGGCTTCATTATGGACTATTAATAAAATGGCAAGCGCTAAGACAATCCTTAAATGGTCCAAGCCGGGTTACCCATACATAAGAAATATGAACTTGGTTTTGGACTCGTTTTTACATAAGTTGGGTCCAACTCAAATCGGTTTGAAAATCAAAAGTATGAAGTGAATGATTTTACGTCAGGCCTGGTAATATGGTTTGGATCCATGGGTCCAAAGACCCATGGTAACTACATTCAACTTTTAGTTTTCGAAACGATAAAAGCTAAAAGTCAAAATTAAAAAACTCAAGAAAGTAGCATTTACATTTTGGTTTTTATTTATTATTATTATTTATTGAAAGTTAAAAGTAGTTACCAGATGAGTTTTCATTTAAAAAAAAAAAAACGAAAAACTAAAAGTTGAAAACGAAATGGTGGATAGTCTTCAACAAGCAAGTTTAGTGCTAGAAAATTAAAACATGTGCTTCACCTTGTATCCAAACACAATGTATCAAACACTTTTCTATTGTAAAAGTTCTATGTACTGATCTTTCAAAATGGAGATCAGATTGACTATCGCATACATGTTATTATTATTGTTGAGGCGAGAATGTTTGAGTTGTGCAATGGAATTGGTGGGGGAAGTGCACGCGGGAGTAGGGTTCTGGTAAACCAGCTATTTACTTAATTTGTTCACTTAGAGTTTACTCTATGTATTTGTACCATGTAAACAATTTGACGCATTTATCAAACATATTTTGACAACATATATAGTAAAGTGATACACGAGTTGAGTTTTAGGGAGTTCAGTGCCAAAATTTGAGTTTCAAAAGGTTAAGTGAGACTTGGTTAAGAAGTGAAGAAGTAATTAAGCCTTAAAAAAACACGTAAAGGAGATGGGCATCCGGCTTGTGCATGAGTTTTATGTGACGTTTTTTAACATTTGGCTAGATTTCCGGTTGATGCCAAGAACCTGCATCCTGTCCTATAGGCCAGCATCAAGGAGAGCAATGAGGTTCAGTTCCCTAATGCTACTTACGCGTTCTTGTTGCCTTGTTTTGTTGTTTTTACTAGGGTTCCGAAACAATTGAAGGTCTTTCCTTGACTGATCCAAATGATGCAGCCCTGGAAACTAATGCTTTTGCAAGGATGTACAACCCGAAACTACTCCAGCTTAGCCATGTACGACTCAAAGGAAGGTATAAAGAACTTCCAAAAGGTTAAGATTGCTGTGTTGGCTTGAATTTCCTTCAAAATATATACCCTGTGATTTTCCCTTCGAGTGCTTGGTTTATCTTGAAATGAATCACAGTATCTTACGACGAGTCTTTACCCAGAAATAAAACTTGAGGCAGGTCTTCAAGGCAAGAAACATGTATTACTGCTTCAGGGTGTTTTACCATGAATATCCAAATTAACTCCTCGCCTTCTTTCTCTCTTCCGTTTTGTTTTTCAGGGTGTTTTATTTCAAATCATTGCTTCTGAGTACAGGTCTTGCAAAATTTCTGGAACCAGCGAAACTGAAACCGGGTTTGAGCCAACCGATCGAATCGAAGTGTAGATGCCAAGAACACAACCATTATCAAGGAGACTACAGTATGTCTTAAGCACTCATTTAAGGTAGAAAGAGCAACATCATGACGGTTTTCGTAAAAGCTGTTATGAATCTCCCAATTCAAACGGGGAAAAAGTGGCTCAAGCCTTCGTTCCAATGTTCATCATTGGCCTTTTCCCTCTTGCTCCACGGTTTGGCAATCAAAGATCGAACATTTTGCAGCAATAAGAGATGAAGGAAGCCTCAAAAGATGACGACTCCGCGAGGCAGTCAGACTGTATCGGCAGTGAAAATAGATGGAAGGTGGGCATTTAGGGAGACGTTTTTTAGAAAGGTTGGATAAACGAGGGTGACATTTCATGGCGCCAACTTAAATTTTAACTCCCCGTAAACAAACTGATGGCGCCAAATGAAAATACAAAGTTAAACCCAAATCAAAACGTTGCCCGCCCAAGCTAATTGATGGCGCCATTGAAAAAGCATCTAAAATCCTAACTTTCCTCTCATATTCTACCGATTTTCTGAATTTGCACCCCTTTCCGTAGGCGATACAGATTGAAACGGATTAGAGACAGAAAGATTTCACCAAAACCAAATCCCTCCGTTTCAAACACCATTACGGCAAAAACAAACGACCCCAAACCGATTTCATTTCAATGGGACATTTTATCAAACACATTCCAGGTTAAATGCGTTCTCACAAAATCAAATGAAACTGTAAACTCCAGAATATGCAAAAATCCATCTTACCCCATTCATGATTTGAAATTTTGAAACAGGACAAGTACAGAAACAGGGTTTTGATTTCCAATTCGAGAGATTACAGAATACAAGTTCATCAATCCGTACCAGTACAGATTTCAGATCATATAAGCCATAGTATTTCATTCAAAAGAAAGATAACGAAATTACATATCTACTAATTCGAAATCCTAACACTAAACACATAAAGATCCAATCTTCCAAACCCTAAAAGACCCAGAACCCACCACACTTCAAGAGCTGGTAAACTTGGTCACCGCCTTAGTCCCCTCAGACACCGCATGCTTAGCGAGCTCACCGGGAAGCACCAATCTAACAGCAGTCTGGATCTCCCGAGAAGTGATGGTGGGCTTCTTGTTGTACCTGGCGAGCCTGGACGACTCCTGAGCGAGCTTCTCGAAGATGTCGTTGATAAAGCTGTTCATGATTCCCATGGCCTTGCTAGAGATTCCGATGTCTGGGTGGACCTGCTTTAGAACCTTGAAGATGTAGATCTTGTAGGTCTCCACGCTCTTCTTCGATCTCTTCTTCTTCTTGTCGCCGGCGGCGGCTCCAGCCTCCTTTGGGAGCTTCTTCCCGGCCTTGGGCTTCTTCTCGGCGGGGGCTTTCTCAGCGACAGCCGACTTCTTCTCCTCTGCTGGCTTCTTCTCGGCGGGCTTCTTCTCAGCTTTGGGCGCCATTGAAGTGGTAAGAGAAAATTAGGGTTTGCGAATTTGGGGGTTTTCGAAAGCGAAGGGATGCGATTCGATCAAAAAGGGTAGAAATGCAGATTCTTTCGTGTGCAAATTAAAGAGGAGGAATGGGTTCGTTTATATAGAGGGGTGTCGGCTGTTGTTATTGGTTAGTGGGGGTTTCACGCGGATCCTGAGGTGGGTGAGCTTTCTGGCCGTACGATTGGTTTTGGAAAAGTTTGGGGATCGACGGTTGCTATCAGTGCGGACGATTGAAGCGACTAGGATGGATCGCTGAGTTGGCCCGTTACTGCACCGCCGATTCTTTCTGCTTCATAGACGGTTGAGATATGTCGTTTATTCGCTCCGCTGTACCTGTATGCTCCATCACCTAAGCAAAGGACTTTCGTTCTTCAAAGTTTTTTTTTTTTTTTTTAGGGTTATTATACAAAATGGGATGGTCTATGAGATTTGCATGATCAATAGAAATGGTTCATGAAATTGAAAATCCATAAAAATGGTGCTTAAGATTATCCACCATCCATGCTTTTGGTACTTCCATTAAAAACGATTTTAGGCAATTTTCAAAACTTTGTAACTCTATCGTTTCTTAACCAAATTCGACCCATAATATATCAAAATAAAGACAGAAAAATGTAGAATAAGATTATATCTATTTGGAAGCCCAATGGTTTCTGCAGATGGCTGGAAAATAGCCTGAAAGGTGATTGGTCCGCGGGAAAATTGGAAAACTCGCCGGAAACTGGGTAAACTTTAAACGTTCATAACTTCTTCAAAACTCAACCAAATTGAGTGATTAAAGAACGAAAATAATACGTGTTGACAAGAAAAAGAGAATGGTTCCTTTTTCGAAGGCTAACACGCCGTGGTTTGGTCGAACAACGGCTCGAAAGTGGCTAACCATTTTCGAGTTGGCCACTTTCGAGCAGTTTTCCGGCCAAACCATGGTGATTTAGCAGTAAAGAAAGATACCATTCTCTTCTTCTCATCGAGAAGTATGATTTTCGTTTTTGAATCACTCGATTTGGTTAAGTATTGAAGAAGTTATGAACGTTTAAAATTTACCCAGTTTCCGGCGAGTTTTCAAGTTTTCCTGCAGACCAGTCACTTTTCAGGCTATTTTCTGGTCCTCTCCAGAAATCATTGGGCTTCCAAATAGGTATAATCTTTTTCTACACTTTCTTATCTTCATTTTGATATATTATGGGTCGAATTTGGTTAAGAATCAATTGAGTTACGAAGTTTTGAAAATTGTCCAAAGAGTTTTTAACGGAATAACCAAAATCATGGATGATGGACAATCTCAGGGACCATTTATATTGATTTTGAATCTCAAAGACCATTTCTATTAATCATGCAAATCAAAGACCATTTCTATTGATCATGCAAATCTTAGAGACTATTTTGTATAATAACCCCTTTTTTTTTTTTTATAGAAATTATGCTTTAATGAGAATGAAGATATTCGAGAAGCAATTAACTTGGTCACATAATAAGCCAATCACTTGTTAGACATCAAACTTAACGTAAATATAATACTTCAGCCATATGAGTTGAACTTGAACTTGAGAAAAATTAAATGTAAATCTTTGGAAAAAAATTAGACTTGTTTAAGTCATGAGCCGAGTTTCGACAATCCAAAACCAATACAAGCACGAGATATTTCAAGTTGATTTGCAACTTTAGTCTCTATATTTAAGGGCTCGTTACTTATTCGTAATGGAAAAACAAGAAACATATAATTTAGAATAAGTAGGGGAATAACTCATTCACATTACGTTGTTTACTAACCACATGAAATCAAATTAAAAATGAAATGTATTTCCATTGTTATTGTTTACTAATTCTAATGAGTTGGAATAAAACGAACAATGAGCATATTTTTGACAAACAACATGGGAAGAAAGGAAAGAAAATCTACCTCCACTAGTTGATCTATTTCTTTTTTCTTTTCTTTTCTGTTTTTTTTTTTTGTCAAACTAATAGCTTATTTGAGAAGTGCTTTTAAATGATCGAAAATACTTTTAGAGAAAATATTTATAGAACCAATTTTTATTAAAAATATAAGTTAATCTTGAAAAATCACTAAAAGTACTCTCTGTGTTTTTTGCACAGAACACTTTAAATGCTTTTGAAATTCAAACTCTTTTTTTAATTCTTAAAGGCACTTCTTAAACCAACCCTAAATAACTTTCATTAATTATAAAAGCTAGTACAAGATATAGAAAGCTCAAAAGCCAGTCCTACAAGCATAGTTACAACAAAGGAATTAAAAGATAGGCCCCAAAACAGCAACCCTAGCAACAAAAAACCCTAGATTTGGAGAATTGTTGCCGCCACCACACTAGTTGTGCTTAGGGCTGAAAAAAATTCCCAAAAATCCCAAACCAAACAAAAAAAAAATCCCGATTACAAACCAAAAAAGTCTTAAACCAAAATTCCCAAAGTTTTTGGGATGAAATACCGAACCGATCCCGAAATTTTGGTACGGGATTCGGTATTGTCTACTTAATCTTTCGGTAATCACATACCGAACCGAAAATAAATAATATATATTATTATATATTTATATATTTATATATGTATTATTATACATTTGAATTGTTGCAGCAATATAATTGGTGTGGTCTAAGGTAGTAACCATAGCCCTTTATCGCCACATTTGCAGGTACGAACCTCTCACAAATGTGTCTATTTCTTCAACACGAAATCAAAAAATTGTATTGTTAGTTCGAACATATTAGGTTTGTAACTTTTTTTTTTTTTCTTTTGGGTTTGTTACTTATTTTATTTTGGTTGCATGTTAATTTAACTTGGTATGAATGATTGCTATTTCCATTTGTATGCAATTTAGGAATACCAAACCATCTCAGATCGGTAAAGGAGTTGAGAGAGACCCGCATCCTGAAATTGTCACCTTCACCTTAATTTGCAACTTCTGGTTTAATTGTTGCTCAAAGAATCTGCTTCTACCTCAAAATATTTATGCCATATAAGTCTTTCCTTGTCACTCTTTCATATGAACTTGTCGTGCAACTAATTGTCGCGTTCAAGAACTAAGTTGTCAACGCAATCACTTTGGCCAAAAATAGCTTTTCTAACACAAACTTTGGTTACTAACCACCCAATTAAACTACCACCTAGAGAGGGTGAACTTTCTTGTTGGACAGTGTGGATACATACCTAGGGATGGGCAAATACCCATCGGTTATGGGTTACCGCGGTTACCTGCCCATTTAAATTTCACAGTTATGATTATGGGTAACCGTTTAGATAAATAAACGGTTATAACCCGGAAAATTTAAATGGGTGGTTATGGATATTAACCGCGGTTATAAATGGGTAACCATTTACCCGTTTATTTTATATATGTAAAATTAACACAAACCATGTTCCCTGTCAGACAAAACTTAGATCAATGCGGTTGACTATAGTGCATGGTTTCTGTAGCTAATATAACATAGTTTTCCTTAACCACTTCAAATTTCATGGTCCATTATACATATTATGTTAGTACTTTACATTCTAAGTTAAATAACCCAAGAATATTGTCTTTTAACAATTTTGGTAACCCTAGAATACTTAGCAAATTTTATATTACCTTCATTGATAACCGTTAAAAATATCGTTAGCAAACTATTATTTTAATTATTAGTGGTATAGGGACTTAAAAAATTAAAATGTGGAAATATAAGATGAATATACCTATAACTGTGTTTAATTGTCAGAAAAAGAAAATTATGACAAATTTTTCTTTTTTAATTTTCAAGTTGTTAAAAAAACATGTAGACGGATGAAAAAAGAGTAAATGGTAAAAGAAAGGATAAACGGGTTGAAAAAAGATAAATGGGTAAACGGGTACTAAACGGTTATGGTTAAATGGGTATGAGGTTATGAGTATGGTTAACCGTTTATAAACGGTTATGGGTATGGATATAACCGTTTAGACAATTACCCAACATGTAAACGGTTATTCGGATATGAGAATAAATGGTTATGGATAAATAACCGCGATTACCCGTCCGCCATAACCGTTGCCCATCCCTATACATACCTGTTAACTCAAATCTTGAGAGGGTGAACTTTCTTTCATTCTTTCTGTTGTTATCCATACAAGCTTCTATATGATGCAATTCCAAATTACCAGCATACTTCACATCAATGAGCATGAAAGGCTTCTTAAAACTCCCATGCACTTGAACAACGTTTCGTCTTCGTCCCGAATCCTAGTATGAAATACTTCATTTAACTTAATAAAAACCCACCTCACATCTGACTGCTGCGGGAGAATCAGAACCTAGAAAACAATTTTATCCTTGGATTTCATGAATCAAAGTCGAGAAGTGGCCTCGTCTCTGTCAACAGTAACTTTGTTTGTCGTCGTGGTGTTTGGCGGAGTCGTGAACCTTGTTGAATTTCTTCAATATAGGTGTCAAACTGAAGAAAATTGAGGTTCCACCATAAAATCAATTGGCAATATGGGGAGTTGAGTTGCCCAAGACCATGTATAAGCACATAACAAATTTTGTCCTTCACCGATGTGGGATAACTCTTCTTCACATTTCAACTCTCAACACACCCCTGCACGTGTGGCCTATCACGTGGACAACAAGCTCAACACACTAACTGTGAAAGCCATTTTTAACAAAACAAAATTTTAATACAAAAATATTAAATAGTTCTAACACTTGCAACCAAAATTGTAAAACTTTATTTTTTCAGTTGAAAATGCTTATTTTTTTTATTTCCGAGAACTCTGTAGGCTTATTTGTAAGAATCCTATGTGGATTTAACTACTTGTGATAAAGGTGGAATTACATGTGGATAATACAACTTCAATAAGAGTTTGATACGTGGAAAACTAATGTCCTATAATTCAGGAAACACATTCGAAATGTTTGGGATGCAACTGCCCTTCCACTAACCCTTTTTCCACTGAACTTGATACAACGGGACAATAACCAACTCACCCACGATAGATGGGAGTTGGTAGCCATTGTTTCTGTACATGTAGGAGTTCCCTGCTCACCAAGAAGACATTCTTCAACATAGGGTTCTATCACCATAAGGATATAAAGGTCTTAAGTGAGTAGAAG